CCCTCCGCAGCGGGGGCCTGTACCCAGCAGCGACTGCAGAGGGAGAGGCCTGTACCCATGTTCTTTGTTCTGCGTGTCAAAGACCCGCAGCCCCAAGCCCCACCATCAAGGTGCTGGGGCTGCTGGGGGTATCAGAGACACAAACCAGCAGGCGCGGCACCCAGCAGACCCAAGGCCTTCATGGCAGCACTAAGGAGCAGCAAGCCGAATGGTAGGAAGCAGCAAGCAGGTGGACAGTAACGAGGGAGGGGTCCCGTACTGCAAGAGGGCACATGCTGGGCTAAGGGACCCCCACCCATCCCCAGTGCACGAATTTCATGCACCGGGCCTCTAGTCTATATATAATAAGAAAGTGCTAAGCACCAACTGAAAGGTTCAAGATGTCTCAAATTAAGACATATTTTAGTTGAAATATATAATGAAAACATATAATCTGAGGCTTGGAGACAAGAGAATATAAAAACAATATAAAAACAAAATTTTCTTAATTTATTAGATTTGCTTCTTGTAAGAATATGAATCCCTACTCCAAAAACCCAAACAATCCCCCCCGCCCCCCCCCAATTTAATCAAATCAACTTACCTGTACTTGGCGAACTACATTAGCCAGACGTTTGGCACAAGGATCTTCATGTTTAATTGCCTCATGCATTTCTCCTTCTGCAATTATACTGAATATTTTGGGCAGATTGGTATTGTTTGGGCCAAGAACAATTGGATGATTACTGACAAAAGAGAGGAAAATCATTATAAATAAAAACTACAAGGAGAAATCACTCAAGCACTCATATTTGAGCATAACTTCCCTCCAATAATGAATTTAGTAATGTTTTTTATAGAATGATTATGCATTTACTAAAATCAACTACCTTTTAAAATCCAGTAGGAGAAAAGCCAGCTAATTTTACTTATTAGCTCTTCAGTTTCTTTCCATGTAAATTAGAAAAAATATTGGCTTATCCCTCAGGGCTGGTTTAAGGGCCAAAATGGACTGCTCTAAGTACCTTAAAAATGTGACATTAAAAAAAAAAAAAACAACTTCCAAAAATCAGATATTAACAAGAATAACAGCTTTTTTTCCCCTTAAATTAATTTTTATTAATTGATTTTAGTGAGAGGGGAGTATGTGAAAGAGAAACCCTGATTTGTTGTTCCACTCATTTATGCATTCACTGGTTGATTACTATATGTGCCCTGACCAGTGATCACATTCACAACCATGGCGCATCAGAATAATGCTCCAGCCAATCAAGCTAACCATGTTCTTTTTTTTTTGTTAATCCTCACCCAAGGATATATTTCCCAATGATATTCAAAGAGAGTGGAAGGGAGGGGGAGAGACACAGAGAAAGAAACATCCATGTGAGAGACACACATCATTTGGTTGCCTCCATAGATTGAGCCCAGAAACTGAGATACACACCCTCGACTGGAATCAAACCTGAGACCCTTTGGTCTGCAGACTGGCACTCTATCCACTGAGCAAAACCAGCCAGGGCAAGAATAACAGCTTCTTAACACAAATTTTATTTACTTATTACAAAATGGTTTCTAAACTAAATTTACAGTTCAAATCCTAGATAGGCATATCGAGAATAAGCCAGGAAATAAACTGCAGGCAGGCTTACTGCAAAGAAATACAACAGTGAACCGAACTAGAATTCCCGAGTAGTCATTTCCAAGGGAGATGATCAAATAGTATAGTGGAGAACTGGTCACTTCAGAGGCAGACGTAGGTAAGGAGTGTGTGGTCTCCAGAATGGCTGTTACATTCTATAATGATGTTCTCAGCAGGAAGATTCAAACACAATTATTTGTGTGAATGTGAGCTTATAGGCAAGGAAGAATATGCCTATTGGCTCAATTCTACAAACTTCCAAGATAAGTGGTTATAGCCCTTGAATTTATTCATGAGCTAAAAGCAGTAATTAATTGAGACAGAGCCCAGATCTGACAAATATTCAGGAGAACTTGGACTTATAAAACAGACCACCAGAGAACACGCCTTTGATTTAATAGCCTCTGTAGCCTCCAGGTTGTTGTAACTCTTATATTTACTCATGGGCACAAAATAATATTAATAATGCCAAGACCCAGAACCAGATCTTGATTGCCAGTCTGGTATACTTGCTCATATCACTGATTCTTGAATCCAAACAAAAAACACCTGAATTTCAGAGGGCAAAATAATGGTACTAACAATGTACCTCAATCTCATTCTACTAATAAATTATATGTCAATTATACCCCAATAAAAAGGAAATTTAAAAAAACATCTAAAGCCAAGTAAATAGATAGGGTGGGGTGGGAGAAAACTTTAGAAGGAAACCTTAAAACATCAACATTCTATAATGCTTCATCTGTTGAAATTCCATAAATAACCCAAATCAGATTATGAGGCCATCTTAACTATAATATACTTTGTTAATATTTATATATATAAAAATCTAAGTGATCATCCGACCATCCAGTAGGTATGATGCGCACTGACCACCAGGGGGCAGATGCTCAATGCAGGAGCTCCTGAGCTGTGGTGACTTGGCAGCGCGGTTCTTGGGCGATGCACCTTGGAACCAGAGAAGAGGAGGGAGCCCGATTCCAGGGTGAATCACCTGAGAACCACCCTCTTGCAATGCAGGACCCCTTAGGGCAGTGGTTCTCAACCTTCCTAATGCTGCGACACTTTAATATAGTTTCTCATGTTGTGGTGACCCCCAATTTCATTGTTACAAATTGAACATAATTAAAGCATAGTGATTAATCACAAAAACAGTATGTAATTATATATGTGTATGTAATTATATATGTGTTTTTTGATGGTCTTAGGTGACCCCTGTGAAAGGAGACCCCACAGGTTGATAACTGCTGCCTTACGGGATGTCAGCAAGCCGGTTTCAGCCTGATCCCTGCAGGCCAGCCCAAGGGACCCCACCTGCCAAAGGTACTCTGCTCACTCCGCAGACGCCCTTCGAGCCACGGTGCCACCCCAGGTGTGTCAGCTAGAGTTGGGGACTGTGGGAGGTTAGCTCCAGGGTATGTCTGGCCTGTCTGGCCCAGTCCTGCCCTGCCAGCCACCTTCTAATTAATTTCCTTTCAATGTGCACAAATTCGTGCACTGGGGAACTAGTGATTTTTTACAGCAAGCATTATTACAAACCTACAGACATGAGGGCTGTGCACAAGAAGCACTGTTTTATGTGAAGGGCAAATAAATTAGGTCTATCTGTCCTTCTTACCTTTCAATCAGATCACACAGATAACTGAAAGTTTGAACAGCTTCTTCTTTATCTTCATGTAGTGGAAGCCAAGACAACCAGTGTGGTAGGACTTCTTCAACGTTCACACAGTCAGGTTTGAACTTCATAATTTTCCCTACTGCTGAGATGCAGTTCTCTGTAGCATTGACATTTTCTTTGGTCTTAGAATCAACAGATTGAATAACTCTTACCAGCAGTGGAAGTGCTTCTAAAATAAGCATTTGAAAAAGGCCAGTTAAAATCTCACATTTTCTTGCAAATGAACATTAATATTTCTTTTATCTTTGGTCCAGTTATTGGTTATACTGAAGAAATGTTTAAATGTAAGGAATGTTTTGTTATCTTGGCTACAAACATAGTAATGAAAGGAAGATCGCCCTAAAAGAATCAGGAACATTAGCATTCTGTTAACTAGACACACCAAGAAGTTAGTAGTCCCCCCAGGTTTATTATTCTCCTGGTCACCTCAGTGTTCTTAAGTTTTAAAAAGCTGTCCAGCTGTACTCATGTTAAACGTACAGGGACCTACAGTATGCTTTAAAAGTCCTAAAAGTGATGTCAGACGAATGGTAGCGTGAAAGATTCTCTTGGCGTCTCCCCCTGAAACTTTAGCAAGTTGATCGATTATAACTCAATAAAGGATTCTCTGCTCAATATAGAGGCATGCCTGAGAGCTGTGCATTGAAGCATCCAATGGTGGGCAAATAAGAATGGGAGGTGAGAAGGAAAGCTCATCTAGGAGATGGCAGGAAGATGGTGGTAGCAGGCACTTCCTTTGGTCGGGAGTAACAGAAAGTCTCAGCGGGCACTCCATGAGCAGTGAGAACAGTGGCTGAACCAGCTGAGACTGGCAAGGACACTGTACAGGGGTTCTGCTGCTGCTGAGCAATAGGTATTTCAGACAAAGGAACAGATCCACAAAGCCCTGCCACACCCGCTGGACTCCCAAAACTTGCCTCCCATCACCCATGGTCTTGGGTGGAGCATATTATCTGCAAACGGAGAGCTATTGCAGCAGAATCGCTGGCTCCCTTTTCCCTCTGTAAGGAGGTCTGGAATCACCATTACCAAGAGGCAAAAAAAAACCCCACACCCCCAAGCAGCGGGGCTGTACTGTCTGACAACAGCTGTGGAGGTCAGCTGAAGGATTTCACATAGGGAAAAATCTTATGATTCAGCACCACCTACTAGAAAATAGTAGAAGACCTCTTGGGAGAAAGCTGCTAGAGAAAGGCCAATAATACATAGATGCCTAGACAGAAGAGACCAGCAAATACCATGAATAACCATGGTAGTGAGTAAGCTCAGAAATAAAATGAAAATCCCCAGAAAGCAAACTGGAACACATGGAAATATGTGATAAAATACGAGAAAATACGGACAGGCAATTTAATTTAATGCAATCAGAAAACAAATTAGTGTTATGTACTTTACTAAAGAGACTAAAACTTTAAAAAAAGAACCAAACAAAAATCCTGGAAATGAAGCATTCAATTAAGGAGATTAGGAGTAAACTAGTGAGCATAGGAAACAGAGCAGACCAGATGGAGAAAAAAATTAGTGATGTTGAAGTAGGAATCTAGAAATGCAGAGGGAAGAAAAACGAGACCTGAACATAAGAGGGAAAGGGAAAGGAAGAAAGGAAGAAAGAGCCTAGTAGGTGTGGCTCAGTGATCGTCAACCCAAAAACCAGGATATCATGGTTCGATTCCCAGTCAGGGCACATGCCAAGTTGTGGGTTCAGTCCCCAGTGTGGGGTTTGTAGCAGGCAGCTGCTCAATGATTCTCTCTCATCATTGATGTTTCTACCTACCTCTCCCTCTCTGAAATCAATAAAAATATATTTAAAAAAAAAAGCACTATAAAAACTGACTCCATCATAAAAAGCAATCCTATATAATAGAAGCCTAATATGCTAAGTGTCTGGTTGTCCATTCAACCAATCAAAATGTAATATGCTAATGATATGCTAAGGCTGCTCAACTGCTCGCTATGACATGCACTGACCACCAGGGGGCAGACGCTCCGACTGGTAGATTAGCTTGCTGCTGGGATCTGGCCGATCGGGACTGAGTAAGATGGGTCAGACATGCCCTGGAGCCCTCCTGCGTCCCTCCCCAGCCCCAAATGTGCACTGGTGAGGTCCCTTGGCCTGATCTGCGCCCTCTTGCAATCCGGGCTGAGGAATCCCCTTCTGCCCCAGTGCATGGATTTTGTGCACCAGGACTCTAATATAAGAATAATAGGCATACCAGAAGAGAGGGAGAAAGGATCAAAGGGCCTATTCAAACAAATAGTGGATGAGAACTTCCCAAACCTATGGAAAGAACTAGATCCTTGAATCCAAGAAACAAACAGAACTCCTAGTTACCTCAATCCGAAGACATCCTCTACAAGGCATATTGTATTAAAACTGTCAAAAATTAATAACAAAGAATAAATTCTCAAAGCAGCCAGTGAAAAGAAGGAAGTGAACTACAAAGGAAACTCATCAGGGTATCATCAGACTTTTCAGCAGAAATTCTACAAGCCAGAAGAGAGTGGAACCAAATATACAAATGACTGAATGAAAATTCGTGGGGGGGAGGGGGGGGGGTTCCCCCTCAGCTTGGCCTGCACACACTCGCAGTCTGGGACCCCTTGGGGGATGTCCATCTGCCAGCTTAGGCCCACTCCCCGGGGGGAACGGGCCTAAGCTGGCAGTCAGACATCCCTCTGGCAGCCCGGGAGCCCTCGGGGGATGTCTGACGGCTTAGGCCCGCACCCAGTGGGGAGTGGGCCTAAGCTGCAGTCAAACATCCTTAGTGCTGCTGAGGAGGCAGGAGAGGCTCCTGCCACCACCTATGCACTTGCAGCTGTCAGCCTGGCTTGTGGCCAAGAGGAGCTCCCCCTGTGGGAGTGCACTGACCACTGGGGGGCAGCTCCTGCATTAAGCGCCTGCCCCCTGGTGGTCAGTGCGTGTCATAGCGACCGGTTGTTCCGCTGTTAGGGTCAATTTGCATATTACCCTTTTATTATATAGGATAATATATCCAGCAGAGTTATCTTTTAAATATGAAGGAGAGATAAAGACTTTTCCAGACATACAGACGCTGAGGGAATTTATCACCAGAAAACTTCCATTGCAGGAAATACTCAAGGGGGTTATTCCACCTGAAACAAAGAGCATAAGGTCACAACACTATGTATGAGTAAGATCAACTTATAGCATAAACAGGGGTAATTTGTAACAACAAAAACATAAAAGGGAAGGGGGTAAAGGTCTAAACTGGCAAAGGAGGATGGAGATCAGATGCATATATACTGTGTATATATGCAACTTTCTTTTTCATAAACCTAATGGTAACCACACACAACCTCCAAAACAGACACATAGCTTAAAAAAAAGGAAACAAAAAAGAAGTATAAAATACCTCCAAACATAAACGACAGAAACACAAAGGAAAAAAAAACATGGAGTCACAGAGCTACCAGAAAATAAAGAATAAAATGGCTATAAGAAATCCTCATACATCAATAATTACTCTAAATGTAAATGGACTGAATTCACCAATAAAAGGCACAGAGTAGCCTTTAAAAAAACAAACAAAACCCAACCATATGCTCCCTTCAAAAGACATATCTAAGCTGCAAAGGCAAAAATAAACTCAAAGGGTGAAACCTGGCCAGTGTGGTTCAGTGGACTGAGTGTTGTCCCATGCACTAAGAGGTCCTGGTTTGAGTGTCAGTCAGGGCACATGCCACGGTTGCAGGCTTGATCCCCAGTAGGGGGTGTGCAGATGGCAGCTGATTGATGTTTCTCCTATCTCATTGATGTTTCTATCTCTTTCTAAAAAATCAGTAAAAACATAGTTAAAAAAAAAAAAAGATGATTCTTCAAGCAAATAACATCCACAGAAAAACAGGTGCACCTCTGGCCAGTTTGGCTCAGTGGATAGAGCAACGGTCTTCAGATCTAAGGGCCATGGGTTGATTCCGGTAAAGGGCATGTACCGTGTTTGCAGGCTTGATCCCTGGCACTGGTAGGGGCACATGTGGGAGGCAACCAATCAATGTGTCTCTCTCACATTGATGTTTCTATCTTCCCCTCCCTTCCACTCTCTCTAAAAATCAATGAAAAAATATTCTTGGGTGAGAATTAACAACAACAAAAAGAACAGCCATACTTACATCTAACAAAATAGATTTCAAGGTAACAAGAGACAATAGGACATTTTATAATGCTAAAGGGGACAATACATCAAGAAGACTTAACTCTTCTTGAAAAATATCAGGAAGCACTGAAATACATAAAGCAGCTACTAACAGAAAAAAAAGGGAGAAAGATCAAAACACAATCATAGTTAGGGACCTTAATACTCTATCGACAGTGCTACATAGATCATCCAAACAGAAAATCAATAAAGAAATACTGGCCTTTAAATGACACACTAGACCAATTGGACATACTTGACATTTACAGACCCCTTCATCCCAGAACATCAGATTATACCATTCTTCTCCAGTGTGCATGGAACATTCTCAAGGATAGACCATATATTGGGTCACAAAACTAGCTTCAACAAACGCAAGAATACTGAAATTATACCAAGTAAAATTTCTGACCACAATGCCTTGAAATTAGAAATGAATTGCAAAATGGAAGTAAAGAAACCCACAAATATGTGGAGATTAAATAACATACTACTACAAAATGACTGGGTCAAAGAAGAAATAAAAGGTGAGATCAAAAGATATATAGAGGCAAATGAGAATTTCAATCTGATATAACAAAACTTCTGGGATGCAGCAAAAGCAGTAATAAGAGAGAAGTTTATATCATTACTAGAGGCCTGGTGTGCAAAACTGGTGCAGGGGTAGGGTCCCTAGGCCTGGCCAGTGACAGTGATCAGGGTCAATCTGTGGAGCAACTGGCAGGGTGATCAGCCCCCACACCACCCCACTGGCACCCGCCTTAGCTGGCCTGGGGCCTGCGGGCAGCAGCTCCTGCATTAAGCGTCTGCCCCTGGTGGTCAGTGCACGTCATAGCGACTGGTTGTTTCACTGTTCAGCTGATTTGCATATTAGACTTTTATTATATAGGATGGACCTAACTCAAGAAACAACAGAAATCTGAAATAAACAACCTAATATCAGGGATATTATAAGGATGCCCACTCTGATTCAACATAGTACTAGCCAGAGTAATAAAGGCAAGAGAAAGAAATAAAAGGCATCCAAACAGGGAAGGAACTGTCACTTTTTACAGATGACATAATTCTGTATATAGAAAACCCTAAAGACTCCACCAAAAACTATTTGAAACAATAAACAAATACAGTCAAGTGACAGGATACAAAATCAATTTGCAAAAATCCATTGCCTTCCAGTATACTAACAATGAGACCCTCAGGAAAGTAAATAGAAAAAAATTCCTTTTGCAATTGTGACCAAAAGAATAAAATACCTAGGAATAAACTTAACAAAGAATGTGAAAGACCTATATAGTGAAAATTACAAAGCACTGTTAAAAGAGATTGAAAAAGACATAACAAAATGAAACAATATTCCATGTTCTTGGATCGGAAGAATCAACAAAATTAAAATGGCCATATTAACCACAGCAATATACAGATTTAATGCAATACCCATCAAAATCCCAATGTCATTTTTTAAAGAGAGCGAACAACAACAAAAAAGATTTGCATGGAACGACAAAAGACCCCGAATAGCCAAAGCAATCCTGAGAAAAAAAGAACAAAACCGGAGGTATCACATTACCAGACTCCAAATTATACTACAGAGCTATGATAATCAAAGCAGCATGATACTGGCAGAAAAACAGATACACAGATCAATGTAAATGGGCAGCTAATTTTTGAAAAAGGAGCCATAAATACACAATGGAGAAAAGAAAGCCTCTTCAATATATGGTGCTGGGAAAATTGGAAAGCCACATGCAAAAGACTGAAATTAGATTAGTTTGTCCCCATGTAGAAACATTACTTCAAATGAATCAAAGACCTGAATATAAGATCTGAAACAGTAAGTCACACAGAAGAAAACATAGGTACTAAACTTAAGGACTTTGGTTCTGAGAACATTTTATGAACTTGACCCCAAAGGCAAGGGAAGTAAAGGCAAAAATAAATGGGACTGTATCAAACTTATTCTGCACAGCAGAAGAAACAGACAAAGAGGAAGCACACCAAAGGGGTTATGATATTTGCAAACAATAGCTCTGACAAAGGTTTAATACCCAAAATATATACAGAACTCATAAAACTCAGTACCAAACAAATAACCCAATTAAAAAATGGGCAGAGGACCCGAACAGACACCTCCTCCTCAAAAGACATACAAATGGCCCACAGATAATATGAAAGGATGTTTAACCCCACTAGCAATTAGGAAAATGCAAATCAAAACTACGAGATGCTATCTCACACCTGTTAGAGTGGCTAATATCAGTAAGAGAAGCAATAACAAGTGTTGGAGAGGCTGTGGAGAAAAGGAAACCCTCATTTGCTGCTGGTGGGAATATAGACGGGTACAGTCACTATGGAAAACAATCTGGGGATTCCTTAAAATATTAAGAATAGAGTTACATATGCCCCAGCAATCACTCTCCTGGGTGTACAGTGGGGCCTTGACTTACGAGTGTCCCGACTAACGAGTTTTTTGAGATACCAGCTGTCTCTCGGCCGATTTTTTGCATTGAGTTGATAGAGTAATTTGAGTTAACGTGCTCCTTAATGAGCTTGGTCTCGGAACGAATTAAACTCGTAAGCCAAGGCCCCACTGTATATCAGAAAAACTTGAAAACATGTATTTGTGAAGATATATGCACCCCTATGTTCACTGCAGCTTTATTCACGGTGGCTAAGACATGGAGCCACCAAAGTGTCCTGTGATAGAGGATTGTATAAAGAAGATGTGGTATATTTATATATATATATATATATATATATATATATATATATATAAAAGCACTGTGGCGGCCAACTGGCCCGATCACCCCCCCCCCCCAACCTCCTGTGGCCTCTCCCCCGGCTGGCCTGGCCCTCCCCACCCTGATCTGGAGTGGAGCAGGTTAACCAACCGCTTACGACCCCTTCCCCGGGCTGATCAGGGGCAGCTGGCTAACCTCCCGCAACCCCTCCCCACAGCCGGCTCGGCCTGGCCCCGATGGCCCCCATTGGGGCGGGCTGGCTGGACTCCATCTGTGCACAAATTAGTGCACCAGGCCTCTAGTCCTATATAATAAAAGGGTTATATGCAAATCAACCGAATGGTGGAATGACTGGTCGCTATGAGACGCACTGACCACCAGGGGACAGATGCTCAATGCAGGAGCTGCCCCCTGGTGGTCAGTGTGCTCACACAGGGCCTCTGCGGCAGCACCAGGGATGTCGACTGTGGCTCAGGCCATTCCCCGAGGGCTTCCGGACTACTAAAGGGCGCAGGCCAGGCTGAGGGACCACCCCCACCCCCCCTCCGAGGCACGATTGTTGTGCACCGGGCCTCTAGTACATATGTAATGGAATACTACTCGGCCATTAAGAAAAGATGAAATACTTGCCATTTGCGACAACATGGATGGACTTTAAGGATATTATGCTAAATGAAATAAGTCAGTCAGAAAAAGCTAAGAACCATATGATTTCATTCAAATGTGGGATATAAAACTGAAACGCATAGACAAAAACAGCAGTGTGGTGGTCGCCAGAGGGAAAAGGATAGGAGGTGTGTGTGTGTGGCGGGGGGGAGCAGGGGCTGTTGAAGGGAGTCTAATAATATATGGTGAAAAAGATTGATTTTGGGTAGCGGGCACACAGTGCAATATAAAGATCTTATGTCACAGAAATATACACTTGCCCTAGCTGGTTTGGCTCAGTGGATAGGAGTGTTGGCCTGCAGACCAAAGGGTACTGGGTTCGATTCCAGTCAAGGGCACGTACCTTGGTTGCAGGCTCCTCCCCGGCCCCGGCCCTGGTCAGGGCTTGTGCAGGAGGCAACCAATTGATGTGTTTCTCTCACACTGATGTTTCTCTCTGTCTTTCCCTCTCTCTTCCACTCTCCCTAAAAATCAATGGAATCCACGGGTGAGGATTAACAAAAAGAAACAAACAAAAAAAGAAATGTACACTTGAAACCTGTATGATGCTATTAACCAATGTCACTCCAATAAATTTAATAAAAACATTTTTAAAAATCCCATGTTAGGGTTGTGATATACCCCCCAAACCCAAAATAAAATCAAGGTGGAGAGGCTTTGATTTCACTCACATTTCATTTCCATTTCTATGAAAAGGGCTACAGATGAAGTTTTTGAAAAAGGAAAAGAGAATAAAACAAATAGGTAGAGAATGTTTGGGGGTACAGAGGGAGCATGAGGTAAAAACAAAAGGGATGCCTGGAAGGACATGCATGTAACCAAATAAACATCAGTACCTGTACAAAAAGGATGATAGTTATCGCCACCATACTGTGCCATGACTCCGAGGCCATACGCAGCTGCTTGCCTGACTTCTGGGCTGCTGTCACACACATATTGGAGCATTGGCCTTAAGAAATATTCTGCATATTTAAATGAGGCAGGACTACAGTGTTCTATAACATCGTCAAAGATGCATAATCCCCATTGTCTGTCTGGCCATGGTCTATGTGGACACTACAAAAGAGATACTCTTTTAAGCTTTGAATATTGAAGTACATACAAATATAAATAGTCACTATAGACTACTGGCTTCCACAAATATTCCTGATACAGGCAAGGAAAAACAAAAATCACTTCTTGAGAGTAAAAATCCTCAAAGTATTATACAGATTTAAATATGAAAAGGTTTAAAAGCCTTGTATAATTTGTTATGGAATTCCACAATGTGACACTACCATATACCAGAAGAACCAACAGTGGCAACAATTTACATACATTTACTTTATATTTAAAAAAATGAAATATATGAGGTTAACACCCAGAATCTGATTAGTGGTGTCATAACTGAATTCTGTAGGGTCCATTGCAAAAAATGTTATCATTTTGTTTTCATTAATTAATTTAGTAAGGCACAGATCAGTGGTTCTCAACCTTCTGGCCCTTTAAATACAGTTCCTCATGTTGTGACCCAACCATAAAATTATTTTTGCTGCTACTTCATAACTGTAATGTTGCTAGTTATGAATTGTAATGTAAATATCTGATATGCAGGATGGTGTTAGGCGACCTCTGTGAAAGGGTCGTTCGACCGCCAAAGGGGCTGCGACCCACAGGTTGAGAACCGCTGGCATAGATAATCTGAAATATAAAGCATATGTATGTCTTTAGATTATAATTTAATTGAACTATGGAAAGACCAATTAGCAAACTTCAAGTACACAACTAGTGAGAAAATATCCAGGGGGATGCAATAATTTTGATAAAATAAAGATGCACAATGGAAAACTGTGATTTCTAAGACCCATTTTAATTTCGAAGTATAAGTTTCCAAAAGCTGCAATGAAAGAATTCCAAATCAGCCATCTAAAATAACTGTCAAGGAGAGGCAATACTTACAATTAGGTTGACAATTAATGGAAGCAGCTGTTCAAACCATGGTAACACCTTTTCCTTGTAGCTACTGAATATTGAGTGTAATATGTCTGACACTTTGGTCAGAATATAAACATCATTATCATCCTAAAACAAAACACACCCATATGTATTAAAAAGTATCCCCACTATTAACAATAACATTTTTTTAAAATCTAAGAAATGTAGAAAATTAAATTTCTTAGCACTTTCTTAAAAGCAAAACAAGAATCTGAGATTACCTCAATGATTGGGTGTCATGCTTCTTATCTATGGAAAGACAAATGTTTGGCAAGTATTGTACTGCACTTACTGCAGATTTTTCTTGGTACACAGTAAAATATATGTGATTGAAAAATTATCCAAAATTTCAAAGTTCTGAAACAAAGGTGTTTTTAGTTTTTTTCCCCCCAAGAATGTTTCTAATTTTGGAGTGGGATGGTGGGTCAGTTACTTGTAATATCTCATCAACTTGTGTACAGCAGCATGAGAGCACCCTGCAGAGAATTGGGAAGACCTGGTCCACCAGGATGGCAACATGCCACATATTCTGGATTTGAAATACACAGCTGAAATATGTTTAATGGTATCAAGTGGTTTGATGAGGAAAGAACTGAGTCACAAGGTGAAGAATTCTATTACCAGTGCTTGTGCATTATTTACTAGAAGGAAATCTGCATTATCCTGTGGTCCATTAGACAGCTGATGTTACAAAAAAATCTGGCCTTAAGCCTAGGTCTTCAACAGTGTGTAGATTTAGGCAGTCATTTATCATCTGAATTGCATTCAAGTATCTTTAAGATAGTGAAAGCACCACCAAATACAAACAGTTTTGATAAGGAGTATTTAAAATACTAGATGAACTCCCAAGTACTTTAAAAAAAATATATTTTATTGATTTTTTACAGAGAGGAAGGGAGAGGGATAGACAGTTAGAAACATCGATGAGTTAGAAACATCGATGAGAGAGAAACATCAATCTGCTGCCTCCTGCACACCTCCTACTGGGGATGTGCCCGCAACCAAGGTACATACCCTTGACCAGAATCGAACCTGGGACCCTTCAGTCCACAGGCCGACGCTCTATCCACTGAGCCAAACCAGTCAGGGCACCCCAAAGTACTTTTATGAAGTATTGCAACAAAATGCAAACACAGCATTCAAAACACAGATCAGCTAATTTCAAATTACTTATTCTCTACACACATGAATGAAATATGTCAGAGTCTTCTGCTAAAGATTACTGATAATTACATCAGAATGACAAGTCAGATAAATTAGAAACTTAAGCCTTTAAAAATCTTCCAGATGCAAATGGTCATGTAAATAAATTTCTTAACATTTTACCTCATCTTGTAGTGACTCTTCCACCTGTTCATCATAGTCTTCATCTTGTCTTTTAACTAAAACACACCCAAATAAATGTCTTTTTAAATGGTCATCAAAATGGTCAAGTATTACATTAAATTATTAAAAGCATAAAAAACTTACCTTGCCGCAATTCTTGATTTTTAAAATGTTCTTCGAGCTTAGCTTTCAGTATACCTCCCAATTCTTCAAAGTGTTCATTATTAAGGCATCCATCTCCCATTACTTCAATGCACTAAAATGAGGTTGAGCAAAGAAAGCAACCCATGAGATTTATGTGTTTTTAAGAGTCAAAAGTTAAACTTCATTAAGAATCAGAGGGAATCTGAGAAAAATCAACATAACTCAGTACCCTGGAAACGAATGATTGAGTACATACACTTGTCTGGGCTTTTTTTTTTTTTTTTTTGTCAACATGCCAGTATTTTAAAAAAATTTTTTTTAATATATCTTTTAAAAACTTGTCCTTGGCATATCTTAAGTGCCAGAATTATGCTAGTTGCTGAGGGTTCAAAGATGGAACAGACCAACTAGATTCTAGGAGCTCAATTACACACATACTTTTTAAAAGACAGCAGTGGAGAAATGGTAAGTCTGCCATGAAAGGGCATTAAAGGCAGAGGGAATAATATGGGCAGACCTGGATGTTACAGAAAAATCTGGCCCTCTTTGGAAAAATAAAATAAATTTTAAACTGCAGGAGTGTAAATGGGGACAAATAAAGATGCTGAAGAACTTTTAAACCAAACTGTGGAGCAAGTTATGGATCTGTGAGCTATGGCAGTGACCAAGAATATAGGAAAGTGAATAAGACTCAAAGGGCAAGTTAATTCTTGAGAAAAGAATGAAGTGGGAGGGAAAAAAAAAAAGCGACTTCTGGAACAAACCAACTGAGGCTATAAAAACAGCACAAAGGAGAGAGAAAGCAACAGGGGGAGAAAAAAAGAGGAATATGGGAGACTAGGACAGAAACTACATGGGAGTTAGAGATGATACTCAAGCCTGGAACACCAGAGGAGCTACTCTTTAAAAAACGAAAACACACACACACACACACACACACACACACACACACACACACAAAATGACACTAAAATATTAAAAGAACTGAACATTTTTGACTTAAAAAAAATTTTGTTACAGCCCAGCTGGTGTGGTTCAGTGGTTGAGTGTCGACCTATGAACCAGGAGGCTGTGGTTAGATTCTGGTCAGGGCACATGCCTGAGTTGTGGGCTTGATTCTCAGTAGGGGGCGTGCAGGAGGCAGCTGATAAATTATACTCTCTCATCACTGATGTTTCTGTATCTCCCTCTCTTCCCCTTCCTCTTTGAAATCAATAAAATCCCCCAATGTATTTAGCAAGACTAATAAACCAACACCCAACCTTACACATATTTTTAAGAGAACACTTACCTTTGCGAAAGAATGCATGATTTCTGAGAGGACATCTGAATCTGGTTCTGTACCAATCGCCTTGATCAGAGCATCGCACATGAAGTGCCACATCTGTGTGAGATACTCAGGACCCCGCACTCGTGCACATTCCAGGAGCAGAGGCATGGACTCTGCCGCCGCCACTCGAACACGTTTCATTGTTAAGGAAATGTGACCACTGTCCTCAAAAGCCTGCTCTATCATTTTTGCTTACTTAAATGTTTAAGTGCTCACTGAGTTAACAGGAGTGCTCGGCAACTTCTATTTATCTAAGACTGCCATCCAAGAGCTTGTGTTAAATATAACATGTGCATAAAAATAGAAGTCTCCCTGCTCATAAGGCATATCTCCTGTCTTTTCTGTCACCTACAACATAGCAAGAATGAATCTCAAATGTAAACCCAAACATACCAGTGGGACCCTGGGATCTCTTCCTATACTAGCCTTTTCGGTTTTCAATAATGATTAAGTGGCCTCTCCCTATCTAACACCATTTGTAAAATGAGGTCTCAAGACCTCCTCTTAAAAACAATGTTTTGTCCTTTTGCATCATGGGAAGTGTCTGCTGGGCAAAAGCCTCTTCTGTAAAGGACACTACACAGAATACTACATGAGGAACCACAACAAAAGGACTCCAGAGGCAGACAGATCTATGTTGGGGTCTGGGCTCTACCCCTGTTCAGTTGTCCTTTTTTTTTTTAACCCATCTATGAAATTTTTTTGTGTGTGTAAAGGCATAGAAATGTACTTATGCATATTAATTACTATCATTAGGTTGAGGAATGAAACATTTAATATGCAGATTTACCAAGAGATGTTTCTCCCCAAAGGTGCTATCTTCATTTGAAATGTAGAATTCTGTGCTGCAGTAAGTTAAGGATTAGTGGGTTTCTAACTTATTAAGAAAGGTCTTACTTTTTTAACAATACCAAAAGACATTTAGGAAAAGTAGCAATTATATACAATGTAAACATTTGCTAATAATAGAATACCAATCCTTAAAATCCTTCAGTGGCCATAGAAAACTGCCAACTAGAGGATAGTAACATTTTCTTTTTGTGTTTTTGGCACAAGTGAAACAAAGAACCAAGTTTATAACTGAAAGTACAGTTAGTACAAACACAAACAATAATGGTGATGTACCCTTTAGTTAACACAAAGTTTAATAATACCTGAACAAGCTACAATTTAACTAAATCTAGACATGTTTTGCATTCAAATATTGTAGGATATCATCGTGGAAATAAAATTTCAGTAAAGGGACCATCAGTTTGACAACCTGTTCAGTATATTCCACAAAGCCTTCCTTTAACTCCTTAGCATAGCAAACCTGAAACCAAAGTATTGGAAAAGAAATCAAGATCCACGTTAGTTTACAGGTATTTTTATTCACAAACAGCAAAATCTAAGGACCAGAGAATTTTGTGTCCTGACTAGAATTACATTTAATGCATGCATGACTATCAAATTAGTCTTGTAACATAAAAAAGGTAAAATGGAATGCACCATGGAATGATTATTGTATATACAGTATATTGTCATTCAAAGTCGGGAATACTCCTTTTTTCTACTTCTCGTGTAAATTTATCAAGTTTCAGCACTCTTAATGAAAATACTCCCAACAAAATATATCACTTAAGAAAAAAATAATTTAAAAAGATATAAACCCCAAAACTTAATTGTAGCATATCACTTACTTTGTAAATCTGTAGCAACAGGCCCATGCTATTTTGTAAAAATTCATTTAATAGTGAAATATATTAAACATCACTGTCTATAACATGCTCATAAAGAAATAAAACAGAAGAACCCAAAGATTACTTAAACACACACTCCATAATACCAAAAGATAATCATTGTAAACATTTTAATTTTTCTACTATGTTTGTTTATACAACTGAAAATATACCAGTTTTATTTTTAACATCATGAGTACATTTCTGTCCATTCAATAAATATTCCTTGGCTACCACCTATACCCTAAGCACAAAACACAAAAATCCTTGCCTTCCGAGAAACCAAGATGGCGGCGGCATAGGTAAACTCCTGAAATTGCTGCCTCGCACAACCACTTCAAAACTACAACTAAAAGACAAAACGGACATCACCCAGAACCACAGGAAGGCTGGCTGAGTGGAAATTCTACAACTAGAAGGAAAGAGAAAAGCACACTGAGACTCAGAGGAGGTGCGGAATAAAGTACAGAGATGGGCCTCATCTGGGCACCTCCAAACCCCAAACAAGGAAGAGGAATCTGCAGATCTCTCCATAGCTCCTACTGGGTAGCCTCAGGAAAAGGTTAAATTAGCACCTCCTTAGAGATCCAAGAGCCAGTGTACCCAGTGGTCAGAGTGGGACCATCCAGATTACAACTCCGCAGATCCATAAGGGACACACTCAGGGGGCAGACTCAGTGAGCACCAAAGCCCCTCTGAAGCAAGTCTTGCCCCAGAAGGGTGTCTCCAGCACAGAAGTTCTCCCACTGCAGACACAGCTGATTCTCACAGCCAATTGGCCTGGAGGTCAATTCCTCCCAGTGATACTTACAACAATCGAGGCTTAACTACAACAAGACTGCACACAGCCCACAAAGGGGTGCACCAAGAGTGTCCACCTCAGGTAATTGGGGAGGCTGAGCCACTGGGCCCTATAGGACACCTAGCACAGAAAGCCACTCTATCAACACAGGGAAGCAGCCAAATTGGGGAGACAAAGAAACAGGTCACAAATGACAGAAATGGAGGAAAGCAAACGACTGGATATAGAGTTCAAAACCACGGTTATAAGGTTTTTCAAGAATTTTCTAGAAACCGCCGATAAATTCAGTGAGACCCTTGAGGATATGAAAAAGGACCAACTAGAAATTAAGCATACACTGACTGAAATAAAGAATAATATACAGAGATCCAACAGCAGACAAGAGGATCCCAAGAATCAAGTCAAAGATTTGAAATACGAAGAAGCAAAAAACACCCAACTGGAAAAGCAAAAAGAAAAAAGAATCCAAAAATATCAAGATAGTGTAAGGAGCCTCTGGGACAACTTCTGAATTATAGGGGTGCCAGAAGAAGAGAGAGAGCAAGATATTGAAAACCTATTTGAAGAAATAATGACAGAAAACTTCCCCTACCTGGTGAAAGAAATAGACTTACAAGTCCAGGAAGCGCAGAGAACCCCAAACAAAAGGAATCCAAAGAGGACCACATCAAGACACATCATAATTAAAATGCCAGGAGCAAAAGACAGAGAGAGAATCTTAAAAGCAGCAAGAGAAAAACAGTTACCTACAAGGGAGTATCCATACGACTGTCAGCTGATTTCTCAATAGAAACTATGCAGGCCAGAAGGGAGTGGCAAGAAATATTCAAAGTGATGAATAGCAAGAACCTACAACCAAGATTACTTTACCCAGCAAAGCTATCATTCAGAATTGAAGGTCAGATAAAGAGCGTCACAGATAAGAAAAAGCTAAAGGAGTTCATCACCACCAAACCAGTATTATATGAAATGCAGAAAGGTATTCTTTAAGAAGAGGAGGAAGAAGAAAAGGGTAAAGATAAAATTATGAACAACAAATAGATATCTATCAACAAGTGAATCTAAAAATCAAGTGAATAAAAAATCTGATGAAGAGAGTAAACTGGTGAATATAATAGAATCGGGGGCATAGAAAGGGAGTGGACTGACAATTCTCTGGGAGAAAGGGGTGGGGGAAGAGACTGGACAAAAATTGTACATGTATAGATGAGGACAGTGGGGGGGGGAGGGGTAAGGACAGAGGGTGGGGTGGGAACCGGGTGGAGGGGAGCTATGGGGGGAAAGAAGAGGGACAACTGTAATAATTTGAACAATAAAGATTTATTAAAAGACAAAAAAAAAAAAAGAGCCAATAATATATAATAAGGAAAAAAAAATCCTTGCCTTCCATGGCTTTGTAATACTCCAAAGTAGTGTAATTATCGATCACCTTCCTAATAACAGGCATTCAGGCTATTTGGTTTTTTGTTACTAGCAAAAGCACTGATAATGAAAAGTTGTATCCACATGATTTCTTCAGGATGAAAATCCAGAAGAAGAAATGTCGGGTCAAAAGGTTTCTACATTTTTCAGAGAATATATTCTTGCTCTTCAAAATAGTTTTGTTAGCATCTATGGGAAGCACTCCTATCACTCACACACTGAGTGGCCATATTATTATGACCACCTGACATTTGTAGGCAAATTAGCTATAATTTCGCACTCAAGTTGCTAGAAGGCCAGACCATTATAAACATCTGAATAGCAGAACATACCTAAGTATCATTGCTGATCAAGTTCATCCTATCATGTTGATGGTATATCCCAATGGAGATGGCTTCTTCCAACAAGACAATGCACCATGCCACGGTGCTCGTATTGTGCAGGAGTGGTTTCAAGAACACGAGGGAGACTTTACCTTGCTTAGGTCACCCCCACAATCACCAGATCTCAATCCAATTGAGCATTTGTGGGACGAAGTTAAAAGAACCATCAGGCCCTAACTGGTTTGGCTCAGTGGACAGAGTGTTGGCCTGCGAACTGAAAGGTTCCAGGTTCGATTCTGGTCAAGGGCATGTACTTTGGTTGCGGGCACATCCTAGTAGGAGGTGTGCAGGAGGCAGCTGATTGATGTTTCTCTCCCATAAATGTTTCTAACTCTCTATCCTTCTCCCTTCCTCTCTGTAAAAAATCAATAATATAAATAAATAAATAAATAAATAAATGGATGAATAAATAAATAAATAAATAAATAAATAAAAGAGCCATCAGGCAGCTGGTTCCACAACCATCAAATCTCACAGAACTGGACAGTGCTCTTCATCAGGCATGGTGTCAGATTCCACGCATCCCCTTTCAACATCTCGTGGAGTCAATGCCAAGAAGAATCACTGCAGTATTGAAGGCAAAAGGTGGCCCAACGAAGTACTGACGGGGTGGTCATAATAATCTGGCCACTCAGTGTGTGTGTGTGTGT